AAAAGAGGGAGGCGGTGGCACTGGGGGAGCAGGGCACTAATCCACCCAGAGGGAGAGTATTGTTTATATCTCCACAGAAATAGGAGTGTGAGGGCAGACCCCATTACAGATGCCAACCTTGAGGGCAACGTATCCACATGGAAAAACTCATGAACACAGGTCTACAGGGCCAGCCCATGTCAGAGCCAAACTGACACAAACCTAGAAGTATGTGCTACAGAAGACAACACTAAACCTACAGGTTGGGGAGAGGGGCCGGGCCTGCCATGCCCATGCAGAAGCAAACCAGGAAGGAAGGAAAAAGAGAGAGCAAGGGACTAGATCCCACACTGGCACACCAAGCCCTGAGGATGACGTCCCTGCACGGAGCTGCTAAGGCACAGAGGGGACTGTAGGGCCGACAACAGCCCAATACATGATGTCCCCTCGAGGGAGCTACTGCGACAGAGAACAATACTGGGAACACACGGTGGGGAGTGAGTCCAGTCTGACACCCCACCCCCACCCCCAGTGGGGTGAACCAAGAAGGCAACATAACAGATCAGCAATGGGAGCAAAGCCAAGCCACAAAGCCCCTGAGGAGCCCCCAAAATAGACTTAAAGCTAGGAGTGGCAGTTCTCAGAACCCCCCAGGACCAGTGGGGAGATAGTCATAAAGGTCAGCAGACAGACCTGGAATTATGTGTGCTTTTTAGGGTTTATGCTAGGTTTTTTTTCCCTCTCTTTATATTCAATCTTTTGTTTTCTTTTTGTTCTGTCTCCATTATCATTGGTTTGCCTACCTATGTAAGATAGGTATGGCAAGCAAGCATGAGGAGAAATCAACAAACTGACAGTTCCGGAGGGAGCTGGGGCTAGAAGGAGGTGGGAGAAGGGAGTGGTAAGCAAACAATGACGTAGACATGGGAACTAAGGAATTAAAATAAAAAACAAGGAGGACATAGAGATCCTGGGGTTGTTGGAGCAACAATCAAGCTGAGGGATTTACTAAGAGGCAGAAGATGGGTGAGCATGATGGTGGGGCAGGAGGAAGGTAAAAGGAAACAGGAAAGATCTAGGAAGAAAAGCCATGGATAGAGGTATAAACATAGGTGTGTAAGATGTAAATATATTACTTCATAAAAATAGAGTTATTGGCCTATGTACACATATTTATATGGCAATACATTGAGGTCGTGGATGGACTTTGGGCCACTGCTCAAGCCCTCCCTCAACACAAGAACACTTTGTTCTAACAAACTGGCATTCTGTGATGCTCACCCTCCCAGCATGAGTGCTGAAGACAAAATGGGTGCATAAGCAAACTTTGTGAAGAAAGCTGATGGTGCCCGACTATCAAAATATATAGTGTCTGGGGTCTTAAAGGCTTGAAGTTAAACAAGCAGCCATCTAGCAGAGAAGCAACAAACAAGCCCACATGGAAAAAGCACACCAGCCTATCCAATCGACAGGATCAGGTATCAGACATCTGAACCACCAAAACTAACAATCAAACAAAAAACATATTGTTGAGAACGAGGGGTCTGAGCAGAGACCCAAAGCCCATCTGTAGACAATGGGACATTCCCTCACAGAAGGGTCACAAGGAAGGGATGAGTCAACCAGGGAGCAGGATAGCACCGATGAGGCACACAATATTCCTTTGGTTCCTTGAGACTTCCTCACCCCCCACTATCATGACCCCAGTCCTGCCTTTCAGTTCTGACTAGACCACGGCATGTCCACTGGGACAGATAGGAGCTCACGACACACGGAATCCAGATCAGATAAACCCCTCAGGGCCAGAAATGGGAGTAGAGATACAAAGAGGGTAGGGGGAAGGTATGGGGAGGAAGGGAGGAAGGGTGAATTGCTCATAATGTTGGACACATAACCACACACAACCATCCCACTCCGAGGGGGTTGAACAACAGAAATGTGGGGGAAAGGAGACAGCGTCTATGTAAGATATAAAAATAATAACAATTTATAGTTTTTCAAGGGGATATGAGGGTGGGAGGGGGTGTGGGAGGGAAAAAAGAGAAGTTGATTCCAAGGGTTTGTGGGGGGAAGTCAGATACTTGCTGCCAGACTGCTGTCTCATCCCACAGCAGGGCTGGGCCTGCTCCCTGCTGCTGGAGACAATAGACTACCTCTCTCTGGAGCCTAAGGCCATTAGCTTGGTTCCTGTAAGAGGGGTTTGCACCCTACTGATAATGGTTCCTATGGAGACCCAGAGACCACCCCCTCATTGCTGTGTAGCCTATAGTGCAACCCCTCCCTGTGACGTATGTCTCTACCTGTAATTAGTGGGCTGGCTTGCCCCCAAAAGGTATATAGGCATGGGTCAGCAATATAGGTGGGGACTTCGTGGACTCTGACCTCCCTGACTCTTCCCCCTCTCCCCTCTTCCCTTTCCCTCCTTCCCTTCCCCCTCTCTCCACGTGGACCACCAAGCTGGGCTGAGGTGAGCAATGTTGCTATGTATCATGCCTGACTGTATTATTGTATTATCTCTCATGCTCTTGATGACTTTAATATAATACTTATATATCTCAACCGTACAATTGTGCATTACTGAACCCAGAAGTAGTATTACTGAACTCGTAGGAGTATCAGCGGGTGGGGGCTGGCCCCTCACCCTCCATCCGCGATATATATTTTTTTTAATTTAATACTACAAGGGTTCAAATAGAAAATAAATGTTTAGAAAATAATGATGGCAACGTATGTACAAATGTGTTCAATACAATTGATGTATCATCGATTGTTATAAGAGCTGTAAGAGCCTCCAATAAAATGGCCCTTTAAATATACATATATATATGTATATTCATAATATATATATAATATGAATATATATATTCATAATAAAGTGATATATTTGCTTTCAAACACCTAAAAAAATTCAACTGAAATAATCCCTTGGACTAAAGAATAAAACTCTCTCGTGTGAGAAGCAGATGACCACTGCACCAAGGTTATGGAATTGGTGGTCATTTTGGGTTTGGACCTCCTGCTTTGAGGGTGACTAATGAATGGTGGCCTGGGACTACCATAGATTTGCCATTTTCATGCTCTCTCTTTTTGATTTTTGATGATATGTCTTGGTCTAGCAGGCATGGTTCTGCCTTTGTGAATGGATGTTACTCAAAGTTTCACCCTATCCCCAACACACACTTGCTTGTGTAAATAGTGTTCAGTTGCTTCTGATCTACATATACATCAACAATTCATGTATTATAAGTCTGAAGAGACAGCTTATATATATATATATAATTTCCTTTTCTCAACAGTGTTTTAAATTCATTGGCTAAATTAATAATACTATCAATAGAATCACTTTATGCCCATGAAAATGATTTGTAATGCTCCCTAATGAAATGATGATGACATCTCCAAAGTGAACCAGAGACATATATAAACCCTAGCTATATGAATCAACTGTGGGCCCGCACATAACTGAAGTTCTAACTGAAGAACAATTTATTCTTATGCCATGAAGATTCTTAACTCACATGACGAAAAGAAGATACGATGCTAGAGCAAAATGTGGTAAAGAAATGAGATGGTGTCTGGCTATAAGAAAGAACAGCGAGTAGGGTTTTAATGGCTTGCCTTAAAACAAGCAAGTGAGGCATCAACTAAGTTCACAAATAAGAAGCACACCAGCCAGTGTAAACTGGATTATAAATAATAAAATCCAATTCCAGAGGACAGAACCGTCTAAGAGCTTAGATCCTGAACACCCAGAGTGTAGAAGGCTACAGATGTCCGTGGAAGTCCAAAATCCATTTGTAGGGTCCCTGTGTGGAGTCGGACTCTGGTGAATCCTCTCTGAACATAGACCAGGGATGTGAATAGCCTTGTATCGGTCAGAGAACATCGTAAAGTCAATTATGCAGATGTTGTCAGGTTAAAATAAAACACCTTACTTATCATTTGATATCCCTTTTGACCCATTTTACATTTGTTCCACTTTTTAATATTTTGCTTTGGATGGATGGATGGATTGTGATCAGAGTTGTACCAGGCCCCAATAAAATAATTTAAAAAAAAACACCGGCATTATCTTGGTTTTT